AGCTAACCAACTACTTATCTACAATGTACGTACGAACCCTGAATCAACGAAAGTCCCCTCGAAAAATCCCAAACACTGTTGTCAGTGGACACGCCATTTTGTAAAAGTCGATCACTGGTTGTGATGTCACACGTCAACATATTTGGTAATTTCTTAGAGGTGAAGGTCGGTTGAGAAATGCACGTCATCTCTGATGTAAAATTAATAAAAGTATCTCTCGTTGATTAACATCATTTGTGGATGTTTTTCATTCAAGGAATTTGAACTTTGTTTTGCGTTAGTGTAAAGAGTATACCCACAATTGGGTCACTGCATTCCATATTATGTATCCGGTAAGGTAAATACTTAAAGTGTGCGTCACAGTACAAGTTGCATCCCTTAAACTTCAAAATACGAATTTATAAGAAGTGAATGTCATATTGTGTTGGTTTACTTAAGTATGAACCGTACAAGTTGTGTGATTTTAACTTGCGCGGTTATTAGCGTTCATACTCCAGTAAACCAACACAATATGACATTCACTTGAAAAGGAACCATGTGAACTGTCAGACACATACATGTACATGTACAGACACATGAGCGAGCGGTGCTATAACTCAGTCTGTGTACGTCACAAAATTGACGACCAGTGAAGATCCGGGGTAGAATAGGTCTTCAGCAACCCATGCTTACCGTAAAAGGTGACTTTGCTTGTCGTAAGAGGCGACTAACGGGATCGGGTGGTCAGGCTCGCTGACGTGGTTGATGCATGTCATCGATAACAATTGCGTGGATCAATGCTCATGTTGTCAATCATTGGATTGTCTGGTCCAGACTCGATTATTTACAGACCGCCGTCATACAGCTGGAATATTGCTGAGTGCGGCGTTAAACAACAAACCAACAAACAAACAAGAGGGAGCAAACCATGCATGTCGATTTTCCATGTTCATAAGAAAGATAGCGTGGATGAATGTACAAATTAGAGATCGCTGGCGCTCACATGTTGTAAGGCAACTATATTTGTACAAATTGTATATTCAACCATGTGTATAACAATTAAGGAATTACAACGTGCTTGCTGACCTATAATCTGGATTCACGCAGTGTGACTCCACCTCAAATTGGTATACATGCACATACCAGCCAAACCTACAAACTCACAATTATTTCCCTACCCATAACATAATTGTGCGTGGATAACGAATTGGGCTAATTCAGGTCACGATACATCAAATATGGAAATATAGAAAACAAAAAACAGATCTGATTTTAAAGTTGTTGCAGAAACAATATCTAATCTCGATACAAAATCCGAGTCAATCAAAAAATAGGACAAACTGAATAGTTTTGATAATGACCGTGGATTATAATAAAGTCATGTATTTCAAAAAGGCAGGCACATTGTTGGTATCAATAATCGTGTATATGTTCAACCAGTTTTGTCTACACATTGTCAATTCAATGTAAAGGAAACTGATCACGGCCACAAACGCGATTGTTCACTTCTGCCCCCTAAGTCTGCAGAAACATTCTGGTTCTTATAGATGGTTACTGTAAAATAACTTTGTTTATGTAAAATAAGTTTTATTGGGATCGATGCATCAACCAAGTCGGCGAGCATGACCACCTGATCCCGTTAGTCGTCTCTTACGACAAGCATAGTCGTCTTTTACGGCAAGCAAGGGTTGCCGAAGACCTATTCTGTCCCGGATCTTCACTGATTGTCACGGGTGAAATGGTAACAATGCGAGACATGTGCTGGAAAGTTGGTTGGTTGGTTGGTTGTTTAACGCCGCACTCAGCAATATTCCAGCTATATGACGGCGGTCTGTAAATAATCAAGGCTGGACCAGACAATCCAGTGATTAATATCATGAGCATCGATCCACACAATTGGGATCGATGACATGCATCAACCAAGTCAGCGAGCCTGACCACCCGATCCCGTAAGTCGTCTCTTACGACAAGCATAGTCGCCTTTTACGGCAAGCATGGGTTGCTGAAGACCTATTCTACCCCGGAATGTGCTGGAAAGAGTGAGTGAGTGAGTGAGTGAATATGGTTTTACGCCGCTTTTAGCAATATTCCAGCAATATCACGGCGGGGGACAACAGAAATGGGCTTCACACAATGTACCCATGTCGGGAATCGAACCCGGGTCTTCGGCGTGACGAGCGAACGCTTTGACCACTAGGTTACCCGACCGCCCCTAGCTGGAAAGAGTATCATGCTGTGGACCTACTGACCTCAGTCTGACGAGAGCAAAACCTGGAGCGTCATTTTATCTGATTTAGCTGATAACATTATGGCTAAATATGATTGTCCTATAAAGTAAGATGCCCATGTCACTCAAGCTTCGGGTAATTAAGGCCTAGTAGATAGATCTCATGTCTTAATGAAGATCATATACATGGTGACAAACCCGGGTTAAAGAGCAACACCATCTGTCAATGTAAGGTCATCCATATTTTGATATTTCTCATCTCCAACATCAACCAGCAAGGCGGGACAAAGAATTTTGAAAAAATATATATAAAAATAAAAACTTTTTACTAAATTGTGTAACTTATTCCATAACAATCTCAAGTTGAGAACACTGTCAAGTGGGGGGAACAGATGGCCCAGTCGTCCAAGGCGCCGCGATTCGCTGTGCAGAGTTGCGTCCCTTGGGCACACCAGAAACCTATGATTGTGGGTTCGAATCCCGGTTCGCCCCGATTATGTTTCTAGGTTTGTCAGCACCATACCCGTGCTCGTGGGTTTCACCGAAGTGCTAAACGTCTGAGACCTGCATCAGTTCGGGTTTCCTCCCACATTAAGCTGACACGCCGCGATATAACTGGAATACAGTTAAAAGCGGCGTTAAACCCAACTCACTCACTCACTGTCAAGAGAAGTACGTCAACGCATGGGACTCGGCCCAAGAGGTACTATACTTTGTACTTTACTGTGAAGAAATTGTAATCCTAAACATATCATGTTACATTGTGAAATATTCTTCACACTTTACAATGTCAAACTAGTTTACCCTTTAATACAGAGCATACACATGGGACATGGATTGTCTTTTGGAGGGGTCATTTGAAAACATTCAGGTGTTATTTGGTTCATTCAAAGGGCTTTGAATTTATATCAATTTTAACAAATACGAGGGGTTATTTTCAGAAATAAAGAGGCAACCATCTGCATACCTGTATTAATATCAACTATCCAGGATGACTTAACCAACAACAAGAAAGATGTCAGTTCGCTTAATACACTGCCATCACTTCTTAATATGTTTCTTTCCCCAGGTGACTGATTGCTTTCCCCTTGCCAGGCAGGGGTTAAAGCAACGAAGGGCAGTCGTAAACTGATTTGCCAGGTCATCATCATCTGTGGTTCGAGAAGGGAGCTAACTCCGCTTGCCTAATCGAAAGCTGGGCCCACATTCGTAACTAAACGTACTTGTTGTAGGGGATATGTCCTACATCAGATTTCTGTATCACGAACTACAATTTTGTATGCTTAAAACGAGTATTGTGACTTTTAATTGAATTAGAATATACAGATGGGTAGAAACTCAAGCAGAACTCACTTGTACAAAACTGGGTCGTGGGGTCATTAATATTCATGAGTTGTTCCTTTTATGGAATAAGATCCCGGAACTTTTTTTAGGTCAAAAGGCTTGTATCCTGGCCGAGTTCGATTTCAAGTATCGACATAATTTTCAGGTTTACATCGACACCGACATTTATGATTAGATTGATGTGTTATACTGGAAAACGTGGATTGTATGGTATTGTCTCTCAAATGCAATTTTATGTACGTTTCTTGCGTTGTAACTATTTTTGCAAAACTTTGTTTTAGAACGAGAGTGATCAGCTGATGACGTTATTGAAACTCCATAGACTTTGTGTACTTATCGTGGAGGTAACGTACGTTACACTAAATAATTTATAAAGACATTTCCAATCAATATAACTACACGAGAACCATATATATTGCTACATATCCAAACAAAACAAGCATGAAATGCTCATATCCCCCGCCAATATGACATGTTCGTTTGTGTGCAGTACATTAGCTCCTGTGAACTATGTTCACCGGGCCTTTTTGTAAATGGCCTAATTGCAGCACTAAAACAGTTATTACTGGTGTTGTTTTGCTATCTGCAGTTAATAATAGTATATGTAACTGTATTTGTAATGAGTAAGGATGAGACATATGGACGAACAACTTCTTTATTACATTTAGGAGCGATGGTTTCGGTGTAGGTACTAACACCGTTATCCAGCAAGTGAAGTACAGAGTATGGTTGACAATAATATATATACAGGACAGGAGGCAGTGTTTATACTGTTGATCAGTTACACTGTTGTATTTGTCATGTGTTGTGTTTCTGCATGAAGTTAGTCAGTGAATGCAACAACCGTGTCCATGACACATTTGGAGGAACAAACACACAGCAGAACTGCAGAACTTACCAACAAGAAAGGAAATGTATTCAATACTGCGAGATGACATTATGTTCCAAGTTTGGTAAAGAAATATGGTACGGTTTTCAAGATCTGCTCCGGAAACGAGGACTACCGCCATTTTCAGTCTAAGTCAAAGTCGTTGGCATGGAAACCCGAAAAAAAAATAATGGAATCCCAAACTATCAAAAGGCACCAGTTCACCACTAGACCTATCTATGTGCCAAGTTTGGTGAAGAAATATGGTACGGTTTTCAATATCTGCTCCGGAAACGAAATGTGACGGGCGGAAGGATGGAAGGACGGACGGACGGCACCCATTCCTATATCCCCCTTCCACTTCGTGGCCAACTAAATGACTTAGTCAGCCAAATGAATCCCAGCGATATACAAATGTGGGCATACCTGTGTCGATGACTAGATCTATTATTATATATCACGGAAGGAGTGGACCCACAACTTAGAAACTGGTTATAAGTGAGCCAACCTAATGAAGATTAGCGATTTAGAAATGTGGTCCAATTTATCACCATATTAAATTTGTCATAAGTAATCAAGATAACCGGAAGTGGGACTTTTTTCGCCGGTGCACGTGAGTTGGTGTTTACAAACAACATGGATACCTTTAATGTTGGAGACAATAGATGTTTTAATAGATGAAAGGGGAAGTGCTACAGTGATATCCGTGTTGACAAATGGATATTACAGGTTACAGGTTGGTACCGAATTTGAATTTGACTGTGATGAAGGCAGATTATTAAAACTTCCCTGTGGCCAACGTTTCATCATCAATAACTGATTGGTGTAATTGTTCTCGGTAATTTACAATAAGCTGTCAATTAAATGTTGAATAGTGTATTGTTACAGTAGAGTTATTGAACGTATTATGTTTTAGGTAAAGGAACAAGTAACATCCACAAGTTTGTACGGAAAATCATGGCACTCCCCTTTCTACCACCAGCCGACATCGCGAGGATGTTCTGGAGAATAACAGGGCGTGTCCCCGCCAATGGCAAACTGCGTGATCTGATCAACTACTTTCAAACCCAGTGGATCGCTCATCCCACCTTCTCTCCCAGATCCTGGTCTGTGTTCAACATAGCTGTCAGGACGAACAACTTTGTGGAAGGTAATAATAATACAAATAGTTCAAATACAAATACACACAATAAAAATAACCTATAATAAACAATAAAAATGTTTTTATTATACATTAAAATGTTTTCTCACGTTTTAAGTTGGCCCAGACGTATCAATAAAAAGGTGGGGGAGCAGTCCCTGGGGATCTACAGATTGATCCCAGAGCTCTTCAGAGAGGCCCGTCTGTTGCCTCTACAGTCAAGACTGATTCAGGAGGGACGACTCAGGGCGTATGTGCGCAAATCTTCCACATCTCGTCAAGAGGAGATTTTCGACATATGGCGACGATACAAGGATGGAGACCTCTCCCTGGGCCAAGTACTCTCACAATGTTCGGTTGTACATGGGCCAATATTGTGAACACGATGAAGATGACGATGGACATGCCGACGATTAGAGTGAGTGAGTGAGTGAGTATGGTTTTACGCCGCTTTTAGCAATATTCCAGCAATATCACGGCGGGGGACACCAGAAATGGCCGACGATTAGAAGAACTGAAGAACTGTATATATGAATATATGTAAATACCATGTAAATACATCACATACACCCAATAACATGTCAATACATCAAATACCATGTAAATAAACCATATATATCACTACAAAAATCGTTCTTATCATTATTAAAAGTTGAGGTACCGTTTGAGCCCGACACATAGTAGCCGTTTTCGCCAAATGCGGTGCCGTTTTCGCCAGAGAAATCGGTGAAATTTTGCTGAGGTGCCGTTTATGAATGTACCCTCGTCGAGCACGGCGAAACAGACGGCGAACACAAAGCCGAAAGATGCCCAAGGTAAATTTGTGGCTGTTGAGGACGGCATGATCGATGGTGTGATCCTAGACAATCAAAACAAAACTACAGCCAATAAAACTTTGTATGATTTGAAACTGTTCGATAACTTTCCAAAAGTCCAAAATGAAATTCGCCAAATGCATGAAATCCCCCCAAACGAACTAGACACACTTCTCTGCAAGTTTTTCATTAGTGTTCGAAAAACAAATGGCGAAAATTATGAACCAAACAGTCTCTTGGGTTTTCAGAAAAGCATCGAGAGATCACTAAAACGAAGGGGGTACGACTATTCACTCACGTTATCTTTAGAATTTTCACCATCACGGGAAGTATTAAAGGAGAGAAAAATTGAACTAAAGAAAGAAGGGCGTGGCAGCTAACCAAGGAGAGCCGACCCGATTGGTGATGAAGAGATCGAGTCCCTGTGGCCGGATCCATTGGAATCAGTAATCCAATGAGCATAATAAACTGTCTATGGCTTTACAACACAATCCGGTTCGGGTTAAGAGGTGTCAATGATCACTACAACATGTGTTGTGGGGACATGACATCGTATGTTGATGGAGACGATCACGAATATCTTGAACTGTTCATGAGACAAGAAAAGAATAGATCCGGTGAGAATCCTCGTGATTGCCACGACGTAAGGCCCAAAATGTGGACTAATGTTGCTGATCCCTCTCGGTGCCCTGTGCAGGTGTTTAAGTTGTATTCCTCCACGCGTCCACTCGACGTCTGTCGAGATGACGAGCCCTTTTACATCGGCTTACACACTTTAGGTATGCCTAAACCCGGCGATCCGCTATCGTATTCGGAAAAACAAACTGTCCTCTCTCATGAAAAAGATGTGGGATGCCGCCAGTCTCCAAACATCGAAACGACTCACAAATCACTCTGCGCGCAAACACCTTGTGCAAAAAGTGAATGTCAATAATGTTCGGCCAAATCAAATAAGGCAGATAACTGGCCACAAAAACATCCATTCTGTGAACAATAACTGCCATATTAATCCTGACCAGCACAAGCAAATATCCAACATCATTTCACGAAATTACTCTGATTACCGCATTAATATGAATATTGTAAAACGCAGCATCAGCGATCTCTATTTTGTGAACACTCTTAATACCATTCATATGTATGTGTATGTTGAATTCTTTATTCAGTACTATACCGGCCACAGGCCCTTTGTGCAAAATGTATGACATATTTAAGGCAACAGTCACAATGATAAAATACGTCTTCTTTCTTCTTTACTGTGATGCAGATATTTAGCGATATTATTAATGAGCTTTGTGTTTGTTGTAGGATAAAAGAAAATTAAACTTAGGGACATTTGGGTGTAGATAATATTTGAAGGAATATATAGATGGCGTAGGTGAGTATATGCAGGGCACACTAGCAGGAAATGAAACTCGTCTTCTGTTATGCCAAATTGACATCGTTTGCAAAATCTTCCTTCGCGAGGGATGTTAAGTTTCCCACTGCATCTAAACCCAATATAATATAAACTAACATGCATTCGAAATAACAATTAAGTCATTCACAACAAGTATTCAAATATATATGTTGGATGTTAGCTGTTTCCATATGGTAGAATGATGGTATGTGAACGTCTTCAGTCCACCTGTATCCACCCATCCTGCAGTTACTATGTACATGAAACAATAAGCACCACGATGCCCACAAGCACGGCCATTCTTCTTATGTCTCCGTCCTGTCGAAACCCACCCGATGGACATGCTGCAACCGTCGGGGACTCGGTACTCGGACCTGGCTCTCTCGGATCATAAACCTCGCACGTTCCTTTCGAACATTCAGTTACCTTAGTAGCCGTGTGGATTCCGCTTTCAACAGCACCAGTAACATAACAAGACACATTCCAACTAAACGCTTCCCCAGCGAAGTAGATCCTCCCGACTGGTGCTCTTATAGCATCAAATACTTTGGGACTAAGAGTTCCTGTTTCCATGTTGCAGAAGCATCCCTTGTACAATGGATTGTTCTTCCAGTCCGTAATGAAAACATCCTCAGGTTCGGCTACATTACCGTAGACTCTCCGCAATATCGCAATCACCTCGTCCTTAACATCACTGTCAGTGAGTTGACTTATTCTGTTCGCCTCTTCTCCCTGGGTCACCATCTGGAGAATGTTGGTTCCAACCGGGAACAGTCCTTCAGCTTCTAAGTTCTGCCAAACAGGATACACGCCACGTTTTTTGTCTGCGTAGAGGATGAATTCAGTGTTATCGCAGAATCTTGCCGATGTCTCAGGAAACTTAAGGTACACGCTGACGTAGTTCTCCAGTCTGATTCGGAACAGGTTGTCCATCTTCCAGTCAGGTAGTGGAGGAATGAAAGTCACAGAACCGCTCTTCAATACTCCGATACTGAAAGTAACAATCACGAAGTCAGCCGTGAAGATCTTCCCGCTTGCGGTAGTTACAGACGCATTGGTGTCAGCGTAGTTGATCGTTTTAACGGTTTCGTTCAGACGAATACGTTGGTCGTTCTCTTGAAGCACGTTCTCCACGTATTTCTTAAGTATGAACTCATACCCTCTGTCATCACGGACATAGAAACTGTCATCGACTCGGTCTGAAATGCCCCTAAAATAACACGAAGTAACGTCAGGGCCAAATCCATCTTCAAAGTCGAAGTCAAAAATTTCCACAGTTTTTTCCACAGGCGTTTTAGGATGCCAGTTTCCGATATCAAGGCATGTGCGAAGGGACATGTCATCTGTCTTTTGGTCTCGAATTCTCCTGAAGACGTTTCCTGATTTAATCCTAGCTTTTGCCAGTTTATCCCAAGCCAATTCACCCTCGGAGGCCGTGACGTCAACGCCGTCATATGTTTTTATGACTACACTATCATAGTCTGACGATATCCCAGACACATTGAACTTCTGGATGACATCCCATAACGGATTGCCTTCCCGGATAGCCATCCAGTTTGCCCCAGCTTCTACAGTGGTTCCCCCAAATTTAATGGACATGACTCTGCCGCCGATTCTGTCCGAGCCTTCCAAGAGGATGAAGTCGTTGATGTTGTTTTCGCTTAGAGTCTTTGCAGCTGCCAAACCTGACGCCCCGGCTCCAAGAATCAAAACTTTGCTGTGTTCTGAAATATGCAGGATGCAGAGTTGAATGAGTGAGAGCACTATTCCAGCCACATCATCATATTTTCTAATAAGGGACCGGTCGCAACGCAGATAAACGCGATGGCTGAACGATCGGATCCAACACCGGGAGAGATTTGACACTCGGTATTGGGAGAAAGGTACAGGTAATTGACGTGAGGAATGTGAGAATATGCAGGAAATACCCACCTGTGCATAAAATGGACTTGTCCGACATTATCTATATAGGGAGTCATCATTATTTAAATACGGGTAAATATTTTTAAAGCTTGTACATTTTATCATCATCATCAAAGAGGCTGTACATAATGTTGATATCTCATATAAGAATTAACGACTCGTGGTCGTTGTGTATCGTACAATAAAACACTGCAGGGGGAATAAACCATGAGAAGCGCAGCCCCTGCAGTGTTTTATTGTACGATAACCAACTCCTACTCGTCGTTTATTTCTTCACTAGTGAAGATAGCTTCTGTGACGATCTTCTTCCAGGAGATGTAATTCACAAAACTTCATGAGTCTATGAACATTTCAAGATATTCTTTTACTCCGTACTTCTTCACGAGTCGATAGACATCCGGGATGAATCCAAGTGAAACTGGACTGCAGCGAGGAGAATAAACCATGAGCAGTGCAGCCCCTGCAGTGTTTTATTGTACGATAACCAACTCCTACTCGTCGTTTATTTCTTCACTAGACCTACATCATAAGGCTTTATTAAGGCGTTTAATGAAACAGAAAGATTATAATACATTTAGATGATTCGATGCATACTTATATTGGATTCGGGTTGAGCTTGCAGTCCTTCCACGGTATATAGAAGAAGCACCATGATTGCCAAAGACACCTTAGGAATGCCTCGATACTGCATCTGAAAAATGATTTAAAAAGCGATGCGTGAATGTGTGAGTGAGTATGGTTTTGCACATTTTAGAATTATTCCAGCAATATCAAAATAGGGGATACCAGAAATGGTCCTCTCACAATGCACTCATGTGGGGAATTGAACCCGGGCCTTCGTCATGAAGACTGAATGCTTTAACTACTAGACTACCCCATAGATGAGGTGAACAATTCGTTCCTGCAATACACGTAAGGTTCAAATCATTCAATTGTAGACTGAAGAATGAGACACAATTTATGTGCGGTAAATGGAGTAAATCTAGATACACTGGTGCATGTGAATGCCAAATGGCATAACAGGGTAACAACATCAACATGTGCCAAATGCGTATGTGGTACCTCAGTCTACGGAGCTCTAAGAAATATACCAACTCACGTTACATTTTGAGGTGAGGAGGAATGAGGTTTAACGTCGCGTTCAAAATTATGGCACTAACACAGCGACGTACATGCACGTGTATGTTTGTTGATTTGTGTGTGTATGTGTGTGTGTGTAGTGCTAGCACACCACACACCATGCCGCAGTTTAACACGAATTTATAAACCCCCCAGTGACGTCATCCTATTGTTCTCTGGTCGGGTTAAATCTCATAAACAGGGACGTTGTAATGTCCCTGGGATTTTATAGGATATTCAAGTCATATTTGCTATATAATGTGTTATTATATCCGATGGATTTTATATAATTTCCTGGGTATTATATTTATACAACTTCGGTTCAGATTGTAACATGTAATGAAATGACAAATATTTTCTTTATATTCCCGAGGATCGAACACGCAACCTTCGTATTTGTAGCCCAGTGAGTGTTCTACAAGGCTACAGAGGCGCTGATGTATCACAATGTTTCAAGATGTCCTTTTCAAGATCCGTATGCCAGCAACAGATATTTTACGCCCGTTTCCTAATGTTCATGGAAAGTATGTTTGAAACATAAAAATGTTGATAAATATTGTATAAAGTTTCTTTTTTCGGTTCATAAGTTAGATAAAAAACACTTCCCCTCGGGTTGTTAGTGATATATAAAACCCTTTCCCTCGGAAAATTCCTCGTGGTGCGGGTTTTACAGATCATAACAACCCTCGGACGTGTTTTATCCTATACACATAACTCAGACACAGTATACTGACTCCGAGCCGACCAGTCCTTGTTTTAGCCCCTTGTTGTCTCTTTTAACGTCTCTTGGTATGATGCGGTCGGGTATCGAGCCCCTACCTTCCGCTCTCCGGGTGGACGCTCTTCCACGCGGAGGCGGTCCATTACAGTTTGAAAGAAAATGCCTTAGTCATGGCGAACAAATTGAAATAGGATTCGTTCCTCTTGAACAAGGTATTCATTCGTGGGGCAAGCATCTGTACAGTCCGTTTGACTCCAAATGAGAACGATGAATTGCAAAATAACTCGAAATCCAGAAAAGTGTATGAAACATCAATGCGGTACTTGACTAGGAATACCCTGTACCCAACAAAATCTGAATTTTGTTTATTTGAAGACCCATGACGGATGAAGTTCTTTAGAAGAAGAAGTCTTTATTTGTACCAAGGCCACTGGCCCATATACAATACATACATTTGAAATAGTGTGGTACATGAAAAAAGGTAATGTCAGGTACAAATTTACAGGTTTACAGGCTTTTCATAATTACGTCTTCTTTCATAGCTGTAATACAGGTATTTACATAGTTTTCCAAGTAATTGTTTACACGAAGATGACAGTAGCGTTTTAAATTTATGCATATATGGATTATTGCAAAATGTTGTTGGTAGGTACAGATGTCTAATATCGTTGTAATATTCACATTCTAAAGTAAAATGATATTCATTCTCTGTACTTGTTTCACATATGGGACAGAGTCGTAAACGTAAGTCAATATCAGCCCATCTACCTTCGTTTACCTTAAGTCTTAGTAGCCCGGCTCTAAGCCTTATCAAAACATTTCGATATTTTATTTCAGTAATAATGGAAAGGTATTTTTCTGGTTCCAGGAGACTTTTAAATTCTTTATACAGAATGTACCTAGAACTAGCCTTGATAGTACTATTCCATGATTGGTAGAACATATTTATCAAAACGTTTTTAAAACTATTCATGAATGATGGTTTGTCGCCAACAGCTTGACTGAGCCAAACTACTCCGAATCCGTGAGAAAATAATATGGAACGAATAGAAGAAGCATAGTTATGACGACCACACTTGTCGTTATATACAAGCATATTATAAGATTTTCTTGGTATCCTATCTTCGTCCATTTCAATCAGTTTTAGCCAATACTTTACAGAACGACACATAGCATTTACATGTAGTGGGTACCGACCGCATTCCCCATACACAATAGCATTTGGGGTTTGCAAACCAACGTTAAGAAACTTCTTACAAGCCATAATATGCACTTGTTCTATTTTTTCAAATCTGTCTACACCCCATATTTCCGCACCATATAAAAGAATAGGTTGAATCTGAGTATCAAATATTTTAAAGAAAACTGAAGTGTCAACAAAACCAATCTTCCGTAGATTGCGAAATATTTCCATTAAAGCTCGTTTACCCCTTGATGCTAGATCTGAAACACATTGGTTCATCTTTGATGTATATGAGAATACAAACCCAAGATATCTATAGGAGTTGGCGGTTGAAATACGTTTGCCTTTATAGAACCATTTCTCATGAACAGATAACCGCCCTCCTCGTCTAAATACAACAACACTCGTTTTATCTAAATTAACCGTTAATCCATGTGAATCTGCAAAGTTATCAAGAATATTAAGTTGGTTCTGTAAACCAGTTACTGTGTCAGAGACAAGAATAACATCGTCGGCAAACAATAATAATAATATTTCAAACAAGTCAGGAAATAATTGTACGCCGTGTTTCCCATGTGATGAAACATCATTTGACAGTTCATTGATGAAGAAGGAAAATAATAGAGGGCTTAATATACAGCCTTGTTTAACTCCGTTAGGACAATCAAAATATTCTGTATAAATGTTATCATTACATCTCACACACGCTTTCACGGAGGCATAGATTCCCTTAAGTGCTCTCATCATCTTTCCACCCAAGCCTACATCGTGCAGACACTCCCATAGTTTAAGATGATTTACTGAATCAAAGGCTTTTTTAAAATCCACAAAAGCAACGTATAATTTCCCTTTTCTTTTCGATAAACATTTGTTAACAATTGCATTCAACGTGAATATGTGGTCAGCAGGAGAATATCCCTGTCTAAAGCCTGCTTGTGTCTCGGGTAATTTACTTCTTATATTAGCCCAATTTGTAAGTCTAGAGTTTAGGACACTTGTGTAAACCTTACTAATTGTACACAATAGAGATATCCCTCTAAAGTTATCTGGATTATTTTTGTTACCTTTCTTATGTAGTGGAAGGATAACAGCTTTCGTCCAGTTCTGAGGGAATAATCCAGAATCAAATAACTTATTGAACAAATTTCGTAGGAAAGGAGTTATTACATTTTCACATTTTAACATTTCAATGACCACGTCATCAACACCAGGGGATTTGCCATTCTTTAAACGATTTATAGCCTTGTGGATTTCTGAGTCGGTAATCGGCGACACCAAAATACACTGGTCAATCTCATCAAGTATAAAATCTTCATCACATTGACATTCGACTTCAGCATGTAATACATCTGTACACTGAAAAACGTTTGTAAAATGATCAAACCAGCACTCTTTACTTATGTTATTCTTTGTTTCCCTACGACCTGATATACTCCGTTACTTTTTCCAAAATGTGGTTGAATCAGATAGAGATAGCTTTAGTTTTGTTCGTGTCATAAATTGATAGTTTGATTTTGCTGTTCTGCAAACATGTTTATACTTGTTTCTCATTTTACAAAAGATTAACTTATTTTCGTTAGATTTCTTCTCTTTGAATTTCCTCATGTATCGCCTCGCTTCCCGTTTTGCTCGTCTGCATTCACTATTATAAAACCCCGTATTTCGGGGTGAACTTTTAACAAAAGGTACCTTCATACAGTCAGCGGCACAAAGAACAACATTAACAAATTTTTCGAGGGCAAGATTGAAATCAAAAGTTAAAAGATCGATGAGCTCGTTGAAGGATGGACATAGATTTGTTATACTTCCTATAAACACATCACGCTTACGAGGGTTCCATTTATATTTGTGTGTTTTGGTGGAAAGATAATCATCACTTGTAGATACTTTAGGGAGAAATATGTCCAAATGTAGACATACAGGCATATGTTTTGACTCAACTCTTGTATCCACAAACATGGATTGACAACAATTGTGAACATTAACGGAACCTATAAACCTTAAAGAGTGAGTGAGTGAGTGAGTGTGGTTTTACGCCGCTTTTAGCAATATTCCAGCAATATCACGGCGGGGGACACCAGAAATGGGCTTCACACATTGTACCCATGTCGGGAATCGAACCCGGGTCTTCGGCGTGACGAGCGAACGCTTTAACCACTAGGCTACCCGACCGCCCTAAACCTTTAAGAAACTATCATGTAATTTTGTATAGAAATGTGTACATGAAACGTAGGGGGGACAAACCGTGGAAGGCACAGCGCAAGCACGGTCTACACGTGCTTCACAGTGACCGTGTTCATTCAATGACAAGATGCGCTACTCAGCAGATGTTAAACAGTTGATGTTGAATGTGTATGATTTCTTTAGAAGTGAAGCAGAAAGAGCAAAGCCTTTTCATGCAATTAATAAATTCTTGAAACGAGCTTCAAAAGCTCTTGGTATGTCCCCTCAGAAACTTTAAAATGTTGTCAGTCGACGAGATACAAATAGTCAGGACAAAGAGGTAGGGAACATGTCAAAACCACGCAAGGTTGATAAATTAGACAGTTTTCAGAGGGATCAAGTCAGACGTGCAATTGTTAAACTGCACTCAGAAAATAAGTACCTGTCCCTGAGAATTTTGAAGAAACACCTTGAAACTGACCATGATTTACGTGTTACAAAGTACAAACTATGGCAGCTGTTGCATACATTTGGTTACAAATACAAAAAGATAACTGGAGAAAATAGGGCTGTGTTGTGTGAACGGTCTGACATTGTTCGTAGCCGAAATCATTACCTTCGTACCATCAAGCAGAAACGTGAAGACGGATATGAGCCCGTCTTCTTAGACGAGACATGGGTAAATGCGTCACACACAGCCAGCAGTCAGTGGGTACCCAGTGGTGACTGTAAGGAGTCTGGTAGAAAGTTACCAATGGGAAAGGGTGAAAGACTCATAGTTCTCCATGCTGGGTCTGTTAGTCAGAGTTTTCTCCCAGACTGTGACCTCGTCTTTAGAGCCAAGGCCAAAGACAACAGGGACTACCACACAGAAATGAACGGCAATGTATTTCTGGAGTGGGTGAAAGATAAATTAGTCCCTGCTTTGCCTACCAAGTCTCTCATTGTCATTGACAATGCACCGTATCATAGTGTGCAGGATTGAGAAAGCAAGACTCCAACCTCTAATAACCGTAAAGGAGACATGGTTACTTGGCTGCAACGGAGGAACATTACCTTTCCTTCTCGAGCGACGAAACCACAGCTCTATGAAATCATCAAAACTATGAAGCCTGACCCCGTGTATAAAGTTGACAGTTACATCAAGGGTCAGGGTCACGCTGTCTTACGACTGCCACCTTATCACTGCGACCTGAATTCAATCGAGTTGGTATGGGGCATCGTCAAGGGTGACGTTGGACGATCGAACACAACGTTCAAATTACGAGACGTTGAACAACTCGTAAAGGAATCCGTTGGTCGAGTAACAGTAGAAACATGGAGGCGTTGTGTGGCCACAGTCGTTGACGAGATAGAGCCACGTTATTGGTCACGAGATGGACTACGGCCAGCAACAGTCCAACCTATAATAGTGGCAGTCAGTTCAGGCACCAGCAGTTCCGACGACGAGATCTATGGCATGAGCGAGTCAGATTGCGACTGAAATTATCATGAGACGGCCCCTCCAACGCTCTGTCATTTCCCCTACCCCACAACGTGCAGTACATGCGTGCTTGGGCTGTGCCTTCCACGGTTTGTCCCCCCTACGTGTCATGTACACATTTCTATACAAAATTACATGATAGTTTCTTAAAGAACTTCATCCGTCATGGGTCTTCAAATAAGCAAAATTCAGATTTTGTTGGGTACAGGGTATTCATGGTCAAGTACCGTATTGATGTTTTATACACTTTTCTGGATTTCGAGTTATTTTGCAATTCATCGTTCTCATTTGGAGTCAAACGGACTGTAGTTACAGCTTCAATGGTCCAGTGGTTTCCTCGGGACAATATTCACAGCCGGCGCTGGACAAGTAGGTCATGACATTAACTCACTTTATATTCAGTCAGGTAAGCTAAAGCCGTTGACAAAAACAACCACAATGAAATATACCCATACCTCTGTTGGTGTACTTGCACAACATCCGAATGATGTTTTCTTCTAAAGTGGTGAAGGGTTATGAAAAACATAGATCCTTATGACCATAGTATCTGCTTTAATATGGAGAGAAGGAACACAAACCCATCACAAATCTGTGTTGAAGGTAGCTGTAGTCGGGTGTATAACAATATGTCACGCTTGTTTCACACTGTTGAATGAACGTGAATGAGTATCCATTCTTCAACACATAACATTACAACACCCTACTAAAATCAGAAACCATTTACATTCACAGGTATATCTAATGATTAATAAACTCGTTTGATGTGACTGCAAAACTGCAAAGTGTAAATACCCACCTTGTTCGTCGGGAGGAGCCAAGGTGCACAATGCCTGATGTCTCGTGACTCTTAACCTCTGTTGAGTTTGTTTAAAGTTTCTGCCTTGACCTTCCGACACAGATACGAGTTGGAATACCCATTACATTTTTACATTTGGGAAAGCAGTACGCGTCGTTCGCTCTATGGCTATGAAAAAAATACAATACCACCGCATAGAATTTCACACCTGTTTAAATAGGGCTGTATCTTTACATGTGTTAAGGTATATTTACATGTGTTAGCAGAGTCCCTTAGATTCACAGGGTGGCAGTTTATTCAATTGTGTTGGATGAGTGGATGAGTGAGCATGGTTTTACGCCACAACAATAATCCAGCAATATTACGGTGAACGACACTAGAAATAGGCTTCACACATTGTACCCATTCGGGGAACCAAACCCGGGTGTTTGGCCTGACGCATCAACGTAATTAGGGAAAAAGATATATTGTCCCCGAAACATTTTGCACAAACAAATGTATGGTTCAGGCTGTTGAAAGAGAAGATTTTGCCTGCCACAAAAAGTACATTGTTGCAAGGAGTTTTTCTTTAATAAATTCAAGCTAATAGTAAATCTAGATACATTGGTGCATGTAAATGTCAAATGGTACAAAAGTGTAACAACATCAACTTGTGCCTAAGTGAGTGGGTATAGTTTTACGCCGCTTTTAGCAGTTTTTCAGCAATATTATGGCGAAAGCTTTAACCCCTAAACTACCCCACCGCCCCTGTGCCTACGTAAACGTATGCAGTACCTCACTCTACGGGACCCTGAGATACTAATTCACATTACATTTTAAGGTGAGGAAAAATGTGGTTTAACGTCGCCGTTTTAGTCATATCCTTGACTTCAATCTTGGCTAAGCAACTGGTTATGCTATTCAAGGCACCTGTGCCATACGGACAATGTATGCACGGGGACTCAGTTATGTCCTTTTTCAACAGTACTGATTGCTTTAATTCTTACTTTAACCGTCGTCCGCCCTGTCCTCACCCCCGTTACCTCCTCCGTGCAAACCCTTCCTTTTGAGCCTGAACCGGTAGACTTGAAATTGTGGATTTGTTTTTCGACGGTATATGAGTAACACATGTGTCAACTTAGAGTACTGCTTTGACTGTTCTTCCATGCCATTTGTGTATTGATGCGGGAAACATCATCGAAGTAAATAATATAAACTCATTTATAGATAATACTACACTGATTCTCGTTAGATACCATTTTACTAAACGTTCGTTCGTTGAAAATGGTTCGGTTTCCTTAATCTATCAGCTGAATTCATATCATGTCCGTACCATTTTGGAAGAGGGAAATCAGAGTGTTCGCCAAAGACGTTCATCTTAACTGTACGACCCTCTACTGAAGACGTGAAAACCAACAAAAACAAATCTGCTTGCATGTTAGTTACAGCTTTGAACGAAGGGCAAGGTCACCACCGGAATAAGAAAAGACAACCGTGATCTCCTCACAGCGATTTATGCTGGAGATAGGGAATGTTATTGTTCACATTTGGGATAAATTTGGGTCACATTATCAGAAGTCAGGCACACTTCTACGGAGTTTCCGAATGATTTGTATCAGAAATGTTCACTTTGAGTGACCTGGTCGTGCAGTTGTAAACAAACAACTCCCGAAAGATTTCGAAGGGGACACTGATGGCACAACCGTACCATCCCAAGCAAGTCTAGATATCTGTCAAGATAGTTTAAAATGACTTCATTTCACAACCCTTATCCTTTTACGTTAAATCAAATTGAAAGTTGCGAAAGTGGTCGGGTGCGTCACGCTCCTGGGGACGCTCGACCTATTGATCGGTAGTTGTACATTGTAAATGGATACAGCTCGATTACATAAGAAGAAGCTGTATGCATAACTTATATAGATTGCAAACCGAATTGAATTTGATGCGACAATTATGAACCAAACAGTCTCATGGGTTTTCAGAGCTGCATCGGGAGATCACTAAAACGAAGGGGGTACGACTATTCACTCACGTCATCTTTAGATTTTTCACAATCACGGGAAGTATTAAAGGAGAGAAAAATTGAAATAAAGAAAGAAGGGCGTGGCAACTTACAAAGGAGAGCCGACCCGATTGGTGATGAAGAGATCGAGTCCCTGTGGCCGGATCCATTGGAATCAGTAATCCAATGAGCATAATAAACTGTCTATGGCTTTACAACACAATCCAGTTCGGGTTAAGAGGTGTCAATGATCACTACAAAATGTGTTGGGGGGTACATCACATTGCATGTTGATGGAGACGATCACGAATATCTTGAACTGTCCATGAGACAAGAAAAGAATAGGTCCGGTGAGAATCCTCGTGATTGTCGCGACGTAAGGCCCAAAATGACAAACTCGTCCGTTAATCGGTTGATATTTCCCATATCAAAAAACACAAGTGATGAATCCTTTATATATAAGACATCAATTAACTCTTGAATGACAAATAATAATATCAAACTGTCTCTATTTTCAAATCTATCATCTGTTCATGCAAGAGCTCTGACAAGAAAATATATCTAAATTCAATTACCGTATCATACCATTCCTGAATTCATCAATGAAGTTCATAAATATTAATTTTCACTCCATGTATTTATAGTTGAATATTAAAAATACAAACATTTTGTTGGTTGTATAATTCAGTCTGTGTACGTCACAAAATTGACGACCAGTTAAGATCCGGGGTAGAATAGGTCTTCAGCAACCCATGCTTGCCGAAAGAGGCGACTAACGGGATCATCGGGTGGTCAGGCTCGCTGACTTGGTTGATGCGTACTCACTGTTTGTTTGTTTGTTTGTTGTTTAACGCTGCACTCAGTAATATTCCATCTATATGACGGCGGTCTGTAAATAATCGAGTCTGGACCAGAAAATCCAGTGATTGACATCATGAGGATCGATCCACGCATTTGGGATACGATGACATGCACCAACCAAGTCAGCGAGCCTGACCACTCGATCCCGTTAGTCGCCTCTGACGATAAGCACAGTCGCCTTTTACGGCAAGCATGGGTTGCTGAAGACCTACTCTACCAGCAGAACTGTTAAATCATAAGTTTGTTGCAAGGTGTTTTTCTTCAGGCTCATTTTATAAACAGAAAATATGCCTGGTTTTGTAGCTAAAGCCAAAAAAGTGTCTAATCTCGATACAAAATACTAGGGCCCAGTTTTGAACTGATATATAATGTTAAATTGTTTTCTGTATCATTTTGAAATGATTGTATGAATAATTATCAGCTACTGACTACTGTTTTAGACATTAATATTGCCATCCTTGTACTCAACATGTACATTTATTACTAAAAGGACACTAGACGTACATCAAATCTTCTCATTACTATGCTATACATGTATATGAATACCGGGACACAGTTTGTAACTAATGAATAATGTTTTTAAATTGTTTTCTATATCGTTTTGAAATGATTGTATGATTACCGATCAGCTACTGACATTAATATTCCAAACTTTATAAGCAACATAAATACAGTATATTTCTTACTTAATGAGGAGCGGTAGGGTAGCCTAGTGGTTAAAGCGAACGCTCGTCATGCCGAAGACCCGGGTTCGATTCCCAAGATGGGTACAATGTGTAAAGCCTATTCTTGGTGTCCCCCGCCTTAATATTGCTGGAATATTGCTAAAAGCGACGTCAAACCATACTCACTCACTCACTTAATGAACGTATGGGTGAGTGGGGTTTTGAAGAGCGAATGCTGTAACTAATGGACTACCCCAGTGAATGATTAGGTGGACAATTCGTTCCTGCAATCCACGGCGTGTCAGCTTAATGTGGGAGGACAGCCCGAAGTGAGGCAGGTCTCAGACGTTAACCACTTCGGTGTAACCCACGAGCACGAGCACGACGCCACTCTGCACAGCGAATCGCGGCGCCTTAGACGACTAGGCCACCCGTGCCCCCGTGTGGCAAAATATAATATAACAAACTGTTTATAAAAGCGACAAAAACCCACAATATTCATAAGAAATCTGGGCCAAAACCCGAGTCGATTGTTTGAGTCCGACGATATCATGAGAATGTTTCTATAAATCACCATCAAATAGTGATGATACCAGGTGTTCACGAAAAGATGAGCTTGTCCTGCCCCACCAGTGGCATCTGTCACAAACACATGCTGGGGCTTCACCTGAAAAAATACACGGGACCGTATATGATACTAGTCAAAATAAGGAATAGCATCAGACATCATTTTTGTCACTGATGCGTCAAATTCGGAAATGTCCTCCACACCTGTATAAACGGCCCGGGTTGTTTGTTCTAGGTCTCGTTACATGTGTCAATTCAAGGTGTGGCAGTTAATTACATTGTGGTTAATGAGTGAGTGATCATGGTTTTACGCCACTTTCAGCAATATTCAGAGTGAGGGGCACACGAAATGGGTTTCACACATTGTACCCATGTGGGAATCTAACCCGGGTCATTGACTCGTGGACCGAACCAACTGTGGAGAATGGACATCTTGTGATTAAGAAGAAGGTTTTCAGCTACATAGAATGTTGCACTGATCTGAGTTTGCGACTCACGCATGTGACTGAAGATCAATGTTCTCCTGCCACCTTTCCTCACGAAAACTTAATACCAACGTCTCAGAGACTCTCAATATATAAAATCCGGTATCTGTATCTGTAAGATATGCATATGGAATAAAGAATATAGAACAACCCTTATCCGTGTACTCCGTGCATGATTGATAACATACGGTATTTTGGAGCAGTTGATGTTGTAACTTTGTTTCCGAGTGTAGAGGTCGTATAACGGTAAGATTTGATAGTGACCTTGCGTAGAGTTATCTCCCTTGGGTGTACTCCAACCTCCGTCTCAGTTCTTGACACCTTCGTTACCCTCCGGGGATAGAGTGCTTCGGAAACACCAACTTTTCTGCCTGTTTCCAACACTGATTAATGAATTCAAGAACAGAGCTCGTTCCCTATTCATTACTTTCAACTGTGACAAAAACTGGACATGAGTGCACTGTAATAGACTCTGATATAGATATAGATATAGGTAAAGATATAAATATATAGATAAATATTGCACAACTCTAATTAGACCCGACCGCCTAAGTGGTCTAGTGGTAGAGCGTCCGCCCGGAGAGCGGAAGGGCCGGGGTTCGATCCCCGGCCGCGTCATACCAAGAGACGTTAAAAAATGGTACTTGTTGTTACCCAGTCTGGCGCTCGGTATCTATCGGCATGGTATCTATCTAGCGCTATAAATCGGCATCAGTCCGGACTAGTTCAAGCAGCCACACACACGTACATGTATATATGTGAGATAAACTTGGACGCGACGTTAAACCCCATTTCACCTCACGTCTAATTAGACCCGTGAAGATCGGGGTCAGAATAGGTCTTCAGCAACCAATGCTTGCCGTAAGAGGTGACTATGCTTGTCGTAAGAGGCGACTAACGGGATGGGGTGGTCAGACTCGCTGACTTGGTTGATGCATGTCATCGTGTTCCGATTGCGTTGATCGATGCTGATGATGTCAATCACTGGATTGTCGGGTCCAGACTCGATTATTTACAAACCGCTGTCATATATCTAGAATATTGCTGAGTGCGGCGTTAAAACAACAAACAAACACCTCGATCACCGCATTTATACGAATATTGTAAAACGCAGCATCAGCGATCTCTATTTTGTGAACACTTTTGATACCATTCATATGTTGAATTCTTTATTCAGTACTATACAGGCTACAGGCCCTTTGTACAAAATGTATGACATATTTATGGCAAAAGTCACAATGATAAAATACGTGTTCTTACTTCTTTACTGTGATACAAATATTTAGCGATATTAATAATGAGCTTTGTGTTAGTTGTAGATACAAGAATATTAAACTTAGGGATATTTGTAGATAATATTTCGAAGGAATATAGAGATGGCGTAGGTGAGTATATGCATATGCAGGGCACACTAGCAGGAAATGAGACTCGGCCAAATTGACATAGTTTGCAAAATTTTCCTACGCGAGGGATGTTTAGTTTTCTACTAGTTTCTACCATGTACAGCCAGTGTGCACTGCATCTAAACCTAATATAATATACCCAACCGCAAAAGAAACGTCACCATGGATAGATATATGAGAAACCTTATTTGTCCAAACACTGTAAACATACTTTGAGACATATTAAAAAGCTGAAACTTGGCAAAACTGATCATCAAGGTTGAAATTAAATGTCAAATGTTCTTAAAGTGAAACACATCACTAGTCCCTGAGAAAATGGCATCATAAGTTAGTATTTCGTGTGTCCGCCATGTGCATTGATGACTGCCGTGCAACGTCGATACCTGGAATGGGTGAGGCGGCTGATGAAGGGCATAGGCACTTGAGCCCACACTCTAAGGAACGCCTGACGTAGTTCAGCTGCAGTTGTCGGCCTTGGTCGGACGTCATTCAACCGTCTTTGAATCTCGTCCCACATGTGCTCAATGGGATTTAAATCGGGGCTGAGGGCAGGCCACTGCATGGTTCTGATGCCATTCTGCTGGAGGAAGTCTCTTGTTGCTCTCGCAGTGTGAGCACGGGCGTTATCACGCTGAAACTCGTGGTTGCGGCGACGTGCCAAATGATGTATGGCGTGTGGCCTCAAGACTTGATCAATGTGGCGAGCTGCTGTGACACCATTGCCTCTCCCTGGACCGATGTTCTGGAAGACCACAGTGCCGACCCTCTGTGCAAGACTAATTCCACCCCACACAATGATGCTCGGACAACACAACGAGTCTCTCTCAACAGCACAAGCATCCGAATAACGTTCCCCACGGCGTCGCCAGACTCTCCCTCTCTCTCCCATCTGCTATTGAGATACAGTAACGACTCTCATCTGAGAAGAGGACTCTTCTCCACTGCTGGTGGCGCCAATGCTGGTGCTGTGTTGCCCACTGCAAACGGTCCCGGCGATTGACGTAGTGTCAGAATCGGTCCTGGGTGTGGCCTGTGACAGTGGAGGTGTCTGTTCGTCAATCATCGACGGACAGTGTCCTCACTAATGTGTCGCTGGTGTGTCCCCATGGTCTCTCGAGCAGTTTCCGCGGTCATAACAAAGCGATCTTGAAGATGCTGTCGCACAATCTGACGATCCTGACGTCGGGTGGTGACCTTTGGTCTTCCACTACATGGTCGGTCATCTGTAGTGTTGGTGGTCTCGTACCGTTGCTGGAGTCTGTATATGGTCCTCACGTGGATTTGAAATGCATTGGCTTCTTGCCGGGCGATTTATGCAGCTTGCAATCGTCCAAGGACTTGGCGTCGCTGATTTCTTGTCAATAGTGGCATGTGGTAACAATTCCGGACGAGAAAATGTTAAATTTTAGAAACTTTGACAAAAAATACCTAAATATTCAAATGACAACTTTTCATGCAATGTTACTTGGGGTGACGTTTCTTTTGCGGTTCAGCATATAATACTAACATGCATTCGAAATATCAACTAAGTCATTCACAACAAGTATTCAGAATATATATGTTGGATGATAGCTGTTTCCATATGGTAGAATGATGGTATGTGAACGTCTTCAGTCCACCTGTATCCACCCATCCTACAGTTACTATGTACATGAAACAATAAGCACCACGATGCCCACAAGCACGGCCATTCTTCTTATGTCTCCGTCCTGTCGAAACCCACCCGATGGACATGCTGCAACCGTCGGGGACTCGGTACTCGGACCTGGCTCTCTCGGATCATAAACCTCGCACGTTCCTTTCGAACATTCAGTTACCTTAGTAGCCGTGTGGATTCCGCTTTCAACAGCACCAGTAACATAACAAGACACATTCCAACCAAACGCTTCCCCAGCGAAGTAGATCCTCCCGACTGGTGCTCTTATAGCATCAAATACTTTGGGACTAAGAGTTCCTGTTTCCATGTTGCAGAAGCATCCCTTGTACAATGGATTGTTCTTCCAGTCCGGAATGAAAACATCCTCAGGTTCGGCTACATTACCGTAGACTCTCCGCAATATCGCCATCACCTCGTCCTTAACATCACTGTCAGTGAGCTGACTTATTCTGTTCGCCTCTTCTCCCTGGGTCACCATCTGGAGAATGTTGGTTCTAACCGGGAACAGTCCTTCAGCTTCTAAGTTCTGCCAAACAGGATACACGCCACGTGTTTTGTCTGCGTAGAGGATGTATTCAGTGTTATCCCAGAATCTTGCCGATGTCTCAGGAAACTTAAGGTACACGCTGACGTAGTTCTCCAGTCTGATTCGGAACAGGTTGTCCATCTTCCAGTCAGGTAGTGGAGGAATGAAAGTCACAGAACCGCTTTTCAATACTCCGATACTGAAAGTAACAATCACGAAGTCAGCCGTGAAGATCTTCCCGCTTGCGGTAGTTACAGACGCGTTGGTGTCAGTGTAGTTGATCGTTTTAACGGTTTCGTTCAGACGAATACGTTGGTCGTTCTCTTGAAGTACGTTCTCCACGTATTTCTTAAGTATGAACTCATACCCTCTGTCATCACGGACATAGAAACTGTTATCAACTCGGTCTGAAATGCCCCTAAAATAACACGAAGTAGCGTCAGGGCTTATTCCATATTCAAAGTCGAAGTCCAAAATTTCCACAGTTTTTTCCACTGGCGTTTTAGGATGCCAGTTTCCGATATCAAGGCATGTGCGAAGGGACATGTCATCTGTCTTTTGGTCTCGAATTTTCCGGAAGACGCTTACTGATTTGATCTTAGCTTTTGCCAGTTTATCCCAAGCCAACTCACCCTCAGAGGCCGTGACGTCAACGCCGTCATATGTTTTTATGACTACACTATCATAGTCTGACGATTTCCCAGACACATTGAACTTCTGGATGACATCCCATAACGGATTGCCTTCCCGGATAGCCATCCAGTTTGCCCCAGCTTCTACAGTGGTTCCCCCAAATTTAATGGACATGACTCTGCCACCGATTCTGTCCGAGCCTTCCAAGAGGATGAAGTCGTTGATGTTGTTTTCACTTAGAGTCTTTGCAGCTGCCAAACCTGACGCCCCGGCTCCAAGAATCAAAACTTTACTGTGTTCTGAAATATGCAGGATGCAGAGTTGAATGAGTGAGAGCACTATTCCAGCCACATCATCATATTTTCTAATAAGGGACCGGTTATTTCTTAATCTGGTGGAAAATATCTGTCCCCGAAACTTCTTGAAAACATAATTATGCTTCAGGCTGTTTAAACATTACATTGTTGCAAGTTGTTTTTCTTCTGGCTCATTTTATAAATAGAACATATATCTGATTTTGCAACTAAAGCCGAAAAAAGTATCTAATCTAGATACAAAATCCTAGGGCCTAGTTTTGAACTAATATACATGTACAATGTTAAATTGCTTTCTGTATCATTTTGAAATGATTGTATGAATGCTTGTCAGCTACTGACTACAAATGTAAGACATCAATATTCCCATTATTGTACTCAACATGTACATTTATGACCAAAAGGAATGAAACGAAACTGAACATGACTATAGGACAATATAAGATAGCTACGCGATAAATCGCAAAGAACAATGAAGAACGAAGCGTGGTTTATTTCACGATAAAACATTGTTCTATCATGACGTCATTTCTGGAGATTCGAACATGCGCTCGTAACTTGATGACGTCATATGTTTGACGACGTTATTTTTTAGAGGGGAGTGTCTAGTGAGTTGTTCCTCATTGATGTAACTGGGCAACGCAGATAAACGCGATGGCCGAACGATCGGATCCAAAACCGGGAGAGATCATGTGACACTCGGTATTGGGAGAAAACGTACAGGTAATCCACGTGAGGATTGTGAGAATATGCGGGAAATACCCACCTGTGCATAAAATGGACTTGTCCGACACTACCGAGGTCGGAATCTATATAGGGTTTCATCATTATTTAAATACGGGTAAATAATTGTAAAGCTTATACATTTTACTATCATCATCAAAGAAACTGTACATAATGTTGATATCTCATATAAGAAATAAACGACTCGTGGTCGTTGTGTATCGTACAATAAAACACTGAAGGGAGAATAAACCACGAGAAGCGCAGCCCCTGCAGTGTTTTATTGTAAGATAACCAACTCCTACTCGTCGTTTATTTCTTCACTAGACCTACATCATAAGGCTTTATTAAGGCGTTTTATGAAACAGACAGATGATAATACATGTATGATTCGATGCATACTTATATTTGATTCGGGTTGAGCTTGCAGTCCTTCCACGGTATATAGAAGAAGCACCATGATTGCCAAAGACACTTTAGGAATGCCTCGATACTGCATCTGAAAAAAATGATTTAAAAAGCGATGCGTGAATGTGTGAGTGAGTATTGTTTTGCAAATTTTAGAATTATTCCAGCAATATCAAAATAGGGGATACCAGAAATGGTCCTCTCACAATGCACTCATGTGGGGAATTGAACCCGGGCCTTCGCCATGAAGAGTGAATGCTTTAACTACTAGACTACCCCATAGATGAGGTGAACAATTCGTTCCTGCAATACACGTAAGGTTCAAATCATTCACGTGTAGAATGTAGAATGAGACACAATTTATGTGCGGTAAATGCAGTAAATCTAGATACACTGGTGCATGTGAATGCCAAATGGCATAACAGGGTAACAACATCAACATGTGCCAAATGCGTATGTGGTACCTCAGTCTACGGAGCTCTAAGAAATATACCAACTCACGTTACATTTTGAGGTGAGGAGGAATGAGGTTTAACGTCGCGTTCAAAATTATGGCACTAATACAGCGACGTACATGCACGTGTATGTTTGTTGGTAGCAATGCCGCAGCTTAACATGAACACATAACCCAGACACAGTATACTGACTCCGAGCCGACCAGTCCTTGTTTTAGCCCCTTAATGCCGAGCGCTAGATTCATTCGTGGGGCAAGCATGTGTAGTACACCTTCAATGGTCCAGTGGTTTCCTCGGAAAAATATTCACAAACGGCGCTAGAAAAGTAGGTCATGATATAAACCCACTTCATTTTCAGTCAGGTGACAAAAACAACCACAATGAAATATACCCATACCTCTGTTCGTGTACTTGCACAACATCCGAATAATGTTTTCTTCTAAAGTGGTGAAGGGTTATGAAAAACATAGATCCTTATGACAATAGTATCTGCTTTAATGTCGCAGAACGTGCAGTACATGCGTGCTTGGGCTGTGCCTTCCACGGTTTGTCCCCCCTACGTGTCATGTACACATTTCTATACAAAATTACATGATAGTTTCTTAAAGAACTTCATCCGTCATGAGTCTTCAAATAAGCAAAATTCAGATTTTGTTGGGTACAGGGTATTCATGGTCAAGTACCGTATTGATGTTTTATACACTTTTCTGGATTTCGAGTTATTTTGCAATTCATCGTTCTCATTTGGAGTCAAACGGACTGTAGTTACAGCTTCAATGGTCCAGTGGTTTCCTCGGGACAATATTCACAGCCGGCGCTGGACAAGTAGGTCATGACATTAACTCACTTTATATTCAGTCAGGTAAGCTAAAGCCGTTGACAAAAACAACCACAATGAAATATACCCATACCTCTGTTCGTGTACTTGCACAACATCCGAATGATGTTTTCTTCTAAAGTGGTGAAGGGTTATGAAAAACATAGATCCTTATGACCATAGTATCTGCTTTAATATGGAGAGAAGGAACACAAACCCATCACAAATCTGTGTTGAAGGTAGCTGTAGTCGGGTGTATAACAATACGTCACGCTTGTTTCACACTGTTGAATGAACGTGAATGAGTATCCATTCTTCAACACATAACATTACAACACCCTACTAAAATCAGAAACCATTTACATTCACAGGTATATCTAATGATTAATAAACTCGTTTGATGTGACTGCAAAACTGCAAAGTGTAAATACCCACCTTGTTCGTCGGGAGGAGCCCAGGTGCACAATGCCTGATGTCTCGTGACTCTTAACCTCTGTTGAGTTTGTATTAAGTTTCTGCCTTGACCTTCCGACACAGATACGAGTTGGAATACCCATTACATTTTTACATTTGGGAAAGCAGTACGCGTCGTTCGCTCTATGGCTATGAAAAAAATACAATACCACCGCATAGAATTTCACACCTGTTTAAATAGGGCTGTATCTTTACATGTGTTAAGGTATATTTACATGTGTTAGCAGAGTCCCTTAGATTCACAGGGTGGCAGTTTATTCAATTGTGTTGGATGAGTGGAGGAGTGAGCATGGTTTTACGCCACGACAACAATAATCCAGCAATATTACGGTGAGGGACACTAGAAATAGGCTTCACACATTGTACCCATGTGGGGAACCAAACCCGGGTGTTTGGCCTGACGCATCAACATAATTAGGGAAAAAGATATATTGTCCCCGAAACATTTTGCACAAACAAATGTATGGTTCAGGCTGTTGAAAAAAGAAGATTTTGCCTGCCACAAAAAGTACATTGTTGCAAGGAGTTTTTGTTTTCTTTAATAAATTCAGGCTAATAGTAAATCTAGATACATTGGTGCATGTAAATGTCAAATGGTACAAAAGGGTAACAACATCAACTTTTGCCTAAGAGAGTGGGTATAGTTTTACGCCGCTTTTAGCAATTTTTCAGCAATATTATGGCGAAAGCTTTAACCCCTAAACTACCCCACCGCCCCTGTGCCTACGTACACATGTATACGTATGCAGTACCTCACTCTACGGGACCCTGAGATACTAATTCACATTACATTTTAAGGTGAGGAAAAATGAGGTTTAACGTCGCCGTTTTAGTCATATCCTTGACTTCAACCTTGGCTTGAAATTGTGGATTTGTTTTTCGACGGTATATGAGAAACACATGTGTCAACTTAGATGACTGCTTTGACTGTTCTTCCATGTGTATTGATGCGGTATCCATCATCGAAGTAAATAATATAAACTCATTTATAGATAATACTACACTGATTCTCGTTAGATACCATTTTTACTAAACTTTCGTTCGTTGACAGACCAAACTGAAACCGGTTGCCAAAGTCTGGTTGTGCATGAATATTGATATATGCCCAAATATGGACGTTGTTGACATTTCTATGCATACGTATTAACAACATTGGCCTGCATTTGTGTTTGAATACATAACAGCACCGACGCTCAAGATCCTTTTGGAAGAATTTCTTCAACTTAGGGTAATTCAAGCGCCATGCTGTTAGTACGCAGGACACCTAGATCTATAAGAAAATTTGAAAAATCACATTAGCGCCCCGCTTTGAATATCGGACGAACAGTCGGTCACTCGCACTGCCGGGGTCCCGGCTGTGCAATCAAAATGGTTCGGTTTCCTTGATCTATCAGAATTCATGTCCGTACCATTTTGGAAGAGCGAAATCAGAGTGTTCGCCAAAGACGTGCATGTTAACTGTACAACCCTCTACTGAAGACCAACAAAAACAAGCCTGCTTGCATGTCAGTGACAGCTTTGAACGAAGGGCAAGGTCACCACCGGAATAAGAAAAGACAACCGCGATCTCCTCACAGCGGTTCATGCTTGAAGGGGACACTGATGGCACAGCCGGACCATCCCAAGAGAGGCTAGATATCTGTCAAGATAGTTTAAAATGACCTAATTTCACAACGCTTATCCTTTTACGTTAAATCAAATTGAAAGTTGCGAAAGTGGTCGGGTGCGTCACGCTCCTGGGGACGCTCGACCTATTGATCGGTAGTTGTACATTGTAAATGGATACAGCTCGATTACATAAGAAGAAGCTGTATGCATAACTTATATAGATTGCAAACCGAATTGAATTTGATGCGACAATTATGAACCAAACAGTCTTAAGGGTTTTTAAGCTGCATCGGGAGATCACTTAAACGAAGTGGGTACGACTATTCACTCACGTCATCGATAGATTTTTCACCATCACGGGAAGTATTAAAGGAGAGAAAAATTGAACTAAAGAAATAAGGGCGTGTCAACTAACCAAGGAGAGCCGACCCGAATGGTGATGAAGAGATCGAGTCCCTGTGGCAGTCCGGATCCATTGGAATCAGTTATCCAATGAGCATAAAATACTGTCTATGGCTCTACAACACAATCCATTTCGTGTTAAGAGGTGTCAATGATCACTACAAAATGTGTTGGGGGGTACATCACATTACATGTTAAAGGAGACGATCACGAATATCTTGAACTGTCCATGAGACAAGAAAAGAATAGGTCCGGTGAGAATCCTGGTGATTGTCGCGACGTAAGGCCCAAAATGACAAACTCGTCCGTTAATCGGTTGATATTTCCCATATCAAAAAACACTAGTGATGAATCCTCTATATATAAGACATCAATTTACTCTTGAATGTCAAATAATAATATCAAATGGTCTTTATTTTCAAATATATCATCTGTCTTCATACAGGAGCTCTGACAAGAAAATATATCTAAATTCAATTACCGTATCATACCATTCCTGAATTCATCAATGAAGTTCATAAATATCAATTTTCAATCCATGCATTTATAGTTGAATATTAAAAATACAAACATTTTGTTCGTTGTATAACTCCGGGGTAGAATAGGTCTTCAGCAACCCATGCTTGCCGAAAGAGGCGACTAACGGGATCATCGGGTGGTCAGGCTCGCTGACTTGGTTGATGCGTACTCACTGTTTGTTTGTTTGTTTGTTTGTTGTTTAACGCTGCACTCAGTAATATTCCATCTATATGACGGCGGTCTGTAAATAATCCAGTGATTGACATCATGAGGATCGATCCACGCATTTGGGATACGATCACATGCATTAACTGAGACAGCGAGCCTGATCACCCGATCCCGTTAGTCGCCTTTTACGGCAAGCATGGGTTGCTGAAGACCTACTCTACAAGCAGAATTGTTAAATCATTAGTTTGTTACAAGATGTTTTTCTTCAGGCTCATTTTATAAACAGAAAATATGCCTGGTTTTGTAGCTAAGGGCGAAAAAGTGTCTAATCTCGATACAAAATTCAAGGGCCCAGTTTTATACTAATATATAATGTTAAATTGTCACTAAAACTATACTCGTTCACTCACTCCCTATTTGAATGTCCCCTGCCGTCATATTGCTGGAGTTTTGCTAAAAGGGACGTAAAACCATACTCACTCAATCACTCACTCACTTAATGAACGCATGGGTGAATGTGGTTTTGTCAATTTTAGCACCATCAAGACGGGCTTCTCACAATGCACCCACGTGGACAAATTGAACCCAGGCCATCATCATGAAGAGCGAATGCTGTAACTAATGGACTACCCCAGTGAATGATTAAGTGAACAATTCGTTCCTGCAATTCACGTAAGGTACAAATCATTGAATTGTAGAATAACCAAATTGTATACGTGCGGTTGTTATTCTTTTTGCTTTTACAATTTCGACATAGACCAAACCTCATAAGGTAGTTAATTGATGGTGTCGAGCTTTTCGAAAAAACGGCCATTGTTAGATTTCACCTGCTACCCGAAATTACTTATACTCGTATGGTGGCACAAATGTTCAGCACGACACAAAGGAAAGACACAGTCTGTGTGCAGTAAATGCAGTAAATCTAGATATTTAGGTGAAGATCAAACGTCATACCAGGGTAACAAAATCAACATACGCCCATATCAACGTATGCGGAACTTTAGACGCCTGCACATACGCCACTTCACATTACATATATAAGAAAAATGCCTTAGTAATGGCGACTAACAGTATAACAGTAAGTAAGCATAAGATACAATGTAGGTCTATACGAGTTTGGATCAAGTGGATCACCTTTATATTTAAGGATAGATTTTATAATACCCGTCTGGCACGTTTCAGGGATTGCACCACACATTATTGATTTATCAATTTCATGAAACGTATCATCTGTCATATACTTTGATCTATCGGGTGGGATATAAACAGTTCCTAAGTAAAGATCCTGATCAAAATTGGATAGAGTTTTACATACTTCAGTCCAAAAAATGTAATCACATTTTTCTTGAGTTACGGATTTATAATCTATATATATATAGTTTTATATGCCGCACCAAAACCTCCTGAATGCCTTACACTGCCCACCTTATTTTGAAGAAAGGGAGTATTTCAGGTATATGTAGCTCATCCAAACTGTTTGTTTTTGTTTCTTGAAATCCAATTATGTCTCTTTTAGCTATTAGATAAAGAAAGTCCTTGTATTCTAGGCGCTTTCTGGGGCCACATACATACATATCAGTACAGTCATCATTATCATCAACATCACCACCATCATCATCAGTATATTCATCATCGCCATCTTCATCAACAACAACGTCATGCGCAACAACATTGGTATCAATATCACAATTACTAGCCAACTCAGAACAATGATTACAGCCTTCACATTATTAAGTACGAGTGTGTTGGCCATTTGGTTTACATGAAATATGTGCTTCCTGGACTGCGCTAAAAGTACCTGGGGTACAGGTATGATAATTCAGGATATCTCTGTGCGTCTGTGTTAGTGTGTGTTGAGAGACAATATTTACATCAGCAGAATTGTTTTCCTTATCTGAGGAAACATGGTTATTCCAAATATTTACAGAGTCCATTGTATCATAGACATTGTGAACACCATCTGTGGTTTCATTTGCCTTGCTAAGTACATTTACCTCAGTGTCTTTCTCAGGATTATTTGTGGACAAAGTGTGACCTGTGGTATTCGTACTATCAGATACATTGTGAGTATGATTTGTGTTTTCATCTGAATAAACTAATACATTTACGTCAGAACATTTGTCAAGATTATATGCAGTAGGGGCACAGTTAATCAGTAAATCTGAAAAGTTCAAGTCATCAAGTACCTGGTTGACAACATTTGCCCCAGAATGTGTACAGTTATTTGGGATAGGGTCAAGGTTATTACACATATTTTCAGTATCAGTAACTACCAATCTACCCATCTGTGGTTGGAAGTATTACAGTTACAAGGAGTTCGCGCAACAATTTTTCTTTTATCTACTATTAATTATCTATTCTATATTGTCAAACTGTCTTATTTC